ACCCATAGCATGGCTTAGCTGTGGAGGCAGTCTAAATGTTCCCCCAGGAAATACCTTAAGAGCTGTCTTTAGTTTAAGAAGATAGCCTGGAAAATAACACTATTGTTGGGAGAGGGTTGTGTATTTTCCTCGGTTTTTGTTCCTGCCACAACAAAGAATTGAAGGGCAGAGACACAGTAATGAAGTAGAGTAAAGGTTTTATTTAAAGCTACTTAAACAGAAAAAGTGCAGCAGGCGACTTGAGGGAGGAGAGACGCCCTGAACGGTTTAAGCTTTATTTAAAGAGCAAGTGCACACTTGGAGAAAGGGGAGTGTTAGCTGCCTCATAGAAGAGGCGCGCTGAGAGGTCGAGATAGACTTACGGTTCTGTGCTTAGCAAGTGCAGGCAGCTCACGGAGAGGAGTGCACCGAAAGGCTGGGAAAGGGTTTTGTTTGTGTTTTGTTAAAGTTACGCACTTAGTGTGGAGAGTGTGGGTGACCTCGCAGAGAGGAGTGCGCTGAAAGGTTTAGGGTTCCCCCTTTTAAGGATTTTTCAGGAATGTGACAAAGGGCTGGGGGTGCAGACTTGTTAAGACTTAACACAAAAAATTTACTGTTGTGAGATACCTGTGTCTTGGTCTGGGAGCTTTCAAGCAAGATGGCCTGCCTCCCCCTGAGGTGGGCTGAGTTACTGTTTGTTTGCTAACAGAGTATGTTAAGAAACTTTTCAATAATTGGGTTTTAAAATGCAATCTTATCTTCAAGATGGAATCCTTCTTGCTTTTACTGTCGTTCATGGCTGGGCTCACTTGCCATATTAATTGCCCAGGTTGTAAGTTACTTGATTAGGGCTGGAGGAGGAAAAGCAGCATCTGGATAAAGTAAAAATAAGTTGGGCCTTTTAGCCGGCTAAAGTCAGTGCTACAATGGCTGCTCTGACTGACACACTGAAGACATGGGCTGTGCTGAGGGACCCTCCTTTACCTGGGGAGTATTCAAACTTCCAGGTCAAGTTGCTCCTGGCTTTTATCTGATTAACTCTTTAATTCTGGGTCTTTTTTTAGTGGGCTTTCCTGGCCCTTATTCTCTTTTCACCCCGCTCATATCTGTTTTGTTGCCTAACACTACCGTTGGGTAGCTCCAGTATTGGTCCAACTAAGTGAATATGTTTATTCTCATGTTAGGTGTATGTCTTAATACTGTTTGGAGGTAAGATGTAGAAGGGGTCGATGGTCACATCTTACACATTTCCCTCCACATTCCCACACACACTTCCTAGTGGAGAGGAGAATTGTCTTATTTTAAGAGCCTGCAAAAAGACTTCAGGAGAAAAATCTGATACTGGTTAGATTAACCTTTACTGTTTGGGAAACAATGACTATGGGAATTTCTATTTGTGTATTTAAATAGACTTTTAGCAAGAATACTTACTTTCCTTAATTCAGTCAGAATATTTAATAGCTTTTATTTCTTGAGAAATTACCTAATTATGTTTGTCAAATTACATTTTTAAAATCATATACACTGTCTTCTAGCCTGTCCAGGAGGGTTTAAATTTAGTACTGAAGGTTTTATTTGTTTTTGATGATGTTTCCGAATCTGTTGACTTCTATAAATATAAATACATTACTGTTTTAAGCAGGAAGTACAAAAGTAAAATCTACCACCTTCATTTTAAAGCAAGGCTAGGTTGGCTACCATGACAACATGCCAGCACATTCTTGTTTTTAGTAACAGAAGATAACACGCTCTGAAGAAAATGACGTCTGGTCAGCTGAGGCCTTCGGCCACTAAGTATTTTACATTCTTTAATATAATAGGGTATTCTAGACACTGGTACATTAAAATAAAGAGAATAGAGGCCTTTAAATTATTAGAAAAATATTTGAACAAAAACAATGTAAATATAGGGCACAATCAATAATTTTAAAGAAAATAAAAGTTTCGGCCCCAGCCCTTTCCCCTAAATTTGAGATTTCTCTTAGTTGCTCATCCAAAGAGTATTTGTTACCCTTGCTTCGGATGCACTACAGAGTCCCTTGGGGAGCTTTGAGTGACACTTTGCTAAAAGGGGACTGTGTTGGCATTTGTATATAGTTCCAGAGATTTTTTTCCAATAGAAAAAAAAATCAACTAGAAAGGCCTACAAGTTGTCAGATTCTCATACTAGGAAGCCTTAAATTGACCATTGCTGTCCTTTGCAATTACAGTTGACCCCAACATGGGTCTGAATTGCCAGGGTCTGCTTATACATGGATCTTTTTTCAGTAAATATGTTGGAATTTTTTATGGAGATTTGTGACAAAAGGAAAAAAACATTTTATTTCCCCTGGCTTACTTTATTATAGGAATATAGCATGTAATACGTATAACATTCAAAACGTGTGCTAATTGTTTGTGTTACCAGTGAGGCTTTTGGTTGACCACAGCCTGTTAGTAGTTAACTTTCGGGGAGTCAAAAGTTACACGTGGGTTTTTGACTGCATGGCCCCGTGCTGTTCAAGGGTCAGCCGTACTTTCGGACGCCTAGATAGTGAACAAGTCCCAGTGGTGCTCCGAGCGTGGATCTAATACTTGTTCTCCCCCTGCAGAAATCCTGAAGGAGCTAGATGAGTATTATGAGAAGTTCAAGCGCGAGACGGATGGCGTCCAGAAGAGGAGAGTGTTGCACTGCATCCAGAGAGCCCTGATCCGGAGCCAGGAGCTGGGCGACGAGAAGATCCAGATCGTGAGTCAGATGGTGGAGCTGGTGGAGAACCGGGCCAGGCAGGTGGACAGTCACGTGGAGCTCTTTGAGGCGCACCAAGAGGTCAGTGACAGCACTGGCCACGGAGGCAAAGCTGGCCAGGATAAGTCCAAGAATGAGACAGTCCCGCAGGCGGAAAAGCCCAATAACAAGAGGTCTCGGCGACAGCGCAACAATGAGAACCGAGAGAACGCGGCAAATAACCATGACCACGATGACATCACGTCAGGAACGCCGAAGGAGAAGAGGGCCAAGGCCTCCAAGAAGAAGAAACGCTCCAAGGCCAAAGCCGAGAGGGAAGCGTCCCCCGCAGACCTCCCCATCGACCCCAACGAGCCGACGTACTGTCTGTGCAATCAGGTCTCCTATGGAGAGATGATAGGCTGCGACAACGACGAGTGCCCCATCGAGTGGTTCCACTTCTCCTGCGTCGGACTGAACCATAAACCAAAGGGCAAGTGGTACTGTCCCAAATGTCGAGGGGAGAGCGAGAAGACCATGGACAAGGCGCTGGAGAAATCCAAAAAGGAGAGGGCTTACAACAGGTAGTCGGCGGACCTGCCGGGCCGGGAGGAGGCGGTGATCGGGCCGTGTATTTATTACCTCCCCACCTTGGGGGAGGCGCCAGGACTGCACAGTGTATATTTTTAAAGAATGTTAGCAAAGGAGCCATTCCCTTTGTTGAGTGGCGCTGATTGTCTGCCTTGTTTTGTTGTCGTTGGTACACATGTGTAATGAGAAGGTGGTCTGTGGATCAACATTTTAGAAACTACAAATACAGGTTTGAATTGAACACCCCGGCAGAGTCTTGGACTGATGGGTCTGAGTTGGTTTGGGTTTTGGCGCAGGGCCGGGGGTGTTTTTGTGTGGGGGGCGGGTGGTGACGTGGAAGCAATCTAACACATTAAATGTGGGGAAAAAAAAATATTTCACTTAGCTATTTTATTTTAATGAAAATGTTAACTTCATGAACAAATTTTTAAAAAATTAGCCAAGTTGCTAAAAATATATATAGCCCATAGCAAACTTATTTCTTACTATAATGTATATCCATATGACAATAAAAAGGTTTTAAGTTTGAAGATTATTTTTTAAAAATGTAAGTGGTTGAATTTTACATGATAAACATTTTACATATGGTCCATTTCCCAAAAGGCCAATTGTAGATTATCTGGTACATTTTTTATTAAACCAAATAGAAGCGGTCTGCTTGTGGGGCTTCAAATCATGCTCTTGCCATCACAAACCCCAGGGGAGCCGCAGTCAGCTCACAAGGTGTGTGAATGTACCTCTGCGAGCGGAGAGGACCCTCCTTTACCTGGGGAGTATTCAAACTTCCAGGTCAAGTTGCTCCTGGCTTTTATCTGATTAACTCTTTAATTCTGGGTCTTTTTTTAGTGGGCTTTCCTGGCCCTTATTCTCTTTTCACCCCGCTCATATCTGTTTTGTTGCCTAACACTACCGTTGGGTAGCTCCAGTATTGGTCCAACTAAGTGAATATGTTTATTCTCATGTTAGGTGTATGTCTTAATACTGTTTGGAGGTAAGATGTAGAAGGGGTCGATGGTCACATCTTACACATTTCCCTCCACATTCCCACACACACTTCCTAGTGGAGAGGAGAATTGTCTTATTTTAAGAGCCTGCAAAAAGACTTCAGGAGAAAAATCTGATACTGGTTAGATTAACCTTTACTGTTTGGGAAACAATGACTATGGGAATTTCTATTTGTGTATTTAAATAGACTTTTAGCAAGAATACTTACTTTCCTTAATTCAGTCAGAATATTTAATAGCTTTTATTTCTTGAGAAATTACCTAATTATGTTTGTCAAATTACATTTTTAAAATCATATACACTGTCTTCTAGCCTGTCCAGGAGGGTTTAAATTTAGTACTGAAGGTTTTATTTGTTTTTGATGATGTTTCCGAATCTGTTGACTTCTATAAATATAAATACATTACTGTTTTAAGCAGGAAGTACAAAAGTAAAATCTACCACCTTCATTTTAAAGCAAGGCTAGGTTGGCTACCATGACAACATGCCAGCACATTCTTGTTTTTAGTAACAGAAGATAACACGCTCTGAAGAAAATGACGTCTGGTCAGCTGAGGCCTTCGGCCACTAAGTATTTTACATTCTTTAATATAATAGGGTATTCTAGACACTGGTACATTAAAATAAAGAGAATAGAGGCCTTTAAATTATTAGAAAAATATTTGAACAAAAACAATGTAAATATAGGGCACAATCAATAATTTTAAAGAAAATAAAAGTTTCGGCCCCAGCCCTTTCCCCTAAATTTGAGATTTCTCTTAGTTGCTCATCCAAAGAGTATTTGTTACCCTTGCTTCGGATGCACTACAGAGTCCCTTGGGGAGCTTTGAGTGACACTTTGCTAAAAGGGGACTGTGTTGGCATTTGTATATAGTTCCAGAGATTTTTTTCCAATAGAAAAAAAAATCAACTAGAAAGGCCTACAAGTTGTCAGATTCTCATACTAGGAAGCCTTAAATTGACCATTGCTGTCCTTTGCAATTACAGTTGACCCCAACATGGGTCTGAATTGCCAGGGTCTGCTTATACATGGATCTTTTTTCAGTAAATATGTTGGAATTTTTTATGGAGATTTGTGACAAAAGGAAAAAAACATTTTATTTCCCCTGGCTTACTTTATTATAGGAATATAGCATGTAATACGTATAACATTCAAAACGTGTGCTAATTGTTTGTGTTACCAGTGAGGCTTTTGGTTGACCACAGCCTGTTAGTAGTTAACTTTCGGGGAGTCAAAAGTTACACGTGGGTTTTTGACTGCATGGCCCCGTGCTGTTCAAGGGTCAGCCGTACTTTCGGACGCCTAGATAGTGAACAAGTCCCAGTGGTGCTCCGAGCGTGGATCTAATACTTGTTCTCCCCCTGCAGAAATCCTGAAGGAGCTAGATGAGTATTATGAGAAGTTCAAGCGCGAGACGGATGGCGTCCAGAAGAGGAGAGTGTTGCACTGCATCCAGAGAGCCCTGATCCGGAGCCAGGAGCTGGGCGACGAGAAGATCCAGATCGTGAGTCAGATGGTGGAGCTGGTGGAGAACCGGGCCAGGCAGGTGGACAGTCACGTGGAGCTCTTTGAGGCGCACCAAGAGGTCAGTGACAGCACTGGCCACGGAGGCAAAGCTGGCCAGGATAAGTCCAAGAATGAGACAGTCCCGCAGGCGGAAAAGCCCAATAACAAGAGGTCTCGGCGACAGCGCAACAATGAGAACCGAGAGAACGCGGCAAATAACCATGACCACGATGACATCACGTCAGGAACGCCGAAGGAGAAGAGGGCCAAGGCCTCCAAGAAGAAGAAACGCTCCAAGGCCAAAGCCGAGAGGGAAGCGTCCCCCGCAGACCTCCCCATCGACCCCAACGAGCCGACGTACTGTCTGTGCAATCAGGTCTCCTATGGAGAGATGATAGGCTGCGACAACGACGAGTGCCCCATCGAGTGGTTCCACTTCTCCTGCGTCGGACTGAACCATAAACCAAAGGGCAAGTGGTACTGTCCCAAATGTCGAGGGGAGAGCGAGAAGACCATGGACAAGGCGCTGGAGAAATCCAAAAAGGAGAGGGCTTACAACAGGTAGTCGGCGGACCTGCCGGGCCGGGAGGAGGCGGTGATCGGGCCGTGTATTTATTACCTCCCCACCTTGGGGGAGGCGCCAGGACTGCACAGTGTATATTTTTAAAGAATGTTAGCAAAGGAGCCATTCCCTTTGTTGAGTGGCGCTGATTGTCTGCCTTGTTTTGTTGTCGTTGGTACACATGTGTAATGAGAAGGTGGTCTGTGGATCAACATTTTAGAAACTACAAATACAGGTTTGAATTGAACACCCCGGCAGAGTCTTGGACTGATGGGTCTGAGTTGGTTTGGGTTTTGGCGCAGGGCCGGGGGTGTTTTTGTGTGGGGGGCGGGTGGTGACGTGGAAGCAATCTAACACATTAAATGTGGGGAAAAAAAAATATTTCACTTAGCTATTTTATTTTAATGAAAATGTTAACTTCATGAACAAATTTTTAAAAAATTAGCCAAGTTGCTAAAAATATATATAGCCCATAGCAAACTTATTTCTTACTATAATGTATATCCATATGACAATAAAAAGGTTTTAAGTTTGAAGATTATTTTTTAAAAATGTAAGTGGTTGAATTTTACATGATAAACATTTTACATATGGTCCATTTCCCAAAAGGCCAATTGTAGATTATCTGGTACATTTTTTATTAAACCAAATAGAAGCGGTCTGCTTGTGGGGCTTCAAATCATGCTCTTGCCATCACAAACCCCAGGGGAGCCGCAGTCAGCTCACAAGGTGTGTGAATGTACCTCTGCGAGCGGAGAGCGGACTCGGGACTCGCCGTCTCATGATCAAAAGGGCGGCCCGAGGCTGTTGGGAAGCTGAGTTGTGTTTCCTGCTGTGCGCATGCAGGGCGTGGCTGTGACATCAAGAAATAAATGAAACTCGGCGGTTTGTACCTCTAGCAATATATTTAATTTTGACAAGTGATCTTTAAATTTTTGTCTTAACAACTTGTACACCAGCAGTTCAGACAAAGCCTTAAGCAAATTCTCTATTACTGTTCTCATTTTAAGATGAAGTAGAAGTTACCTAGTTGCCGGCAAGTAAGTATCAAAACAGAACATACATATATATATATTTGACTAAGGGTTGGGAAATTACTGGCCCACAGGCCAAATCAGCCCCCCTCCTGTTTGTATTGCCTGTGAGCCAAGAATGATCTTTACATGGTCTTTTAAAAATGCAAAATCCTATTTTGTGACATGAAAATTACATGAAATTCAAAGTTTAGTGTTCATGAATAAAGCTTTATTGGCACACAGCCACGCCTATTTGCTTATGCATGTGTGGCTGTTCAATACAATGGCAGGGTTCAGGGGCTGTCGCAGAGACGGTGTGACCACAAAGCTGAAACGACTTTCTGGCCCCATGCAGAGGTTTGCCGGCCTGACTTGGGCCCCTTGAGTGTGCCCATCTGTGTCCTGAACCGCCCGCTTACTGAAAGGATCAACAGAATTTTCATTTCCGAGGGATACTATGGTTCACCTAAGTGATCTGTATGATGCGGTTTAACCATGGAGTAGAATTTATCTCCATAGTCTGTTTTACAGCCTCCAAAGCTACCACAAGGAAGAATTGAGTAACCACTATAGCCCCTAAGGAACTGTATGACATATATTTGTTGTAAGTAAAACGCCTAGTTTTCTGATTTTTTCATTTGATAATGGAAAATTTCATTTGTACCAGACATAATGAGCTCCTGTTTTACAGTAAATTTCCATTGTAAAGAGAGTTATTTGGTGGAGAAATACAGATTGTAGTTGGTCTTATATTAAAATGAGAACCGTGCATACGATACCTACAAATAGGAATTTACTATCCACCAAAATTCTTAAGACATTTAAGAATCTTGGGTGTTTAAATTTGGTAAGACCTAGGTGAACAATAAACTAAATTAATTCATTAAAATACTTGATAACAGTCTGGTGGCAATAGATGTAATTTAAAAGAATCTGATTATATAAAACTATTTGATGGTTTTCACTTCTATTTCAGTTAGAGTGAAAAATGAAAATTAAGTTATAGGGGTGAAGATTTGCAAAAACACAGTTGCTAGTACCAGATTTCTTCCTGCTCATTCAGTTAGGGTGTAGGTGGCTGTAGAAGGGAGAAGACAAGAGGGCCCAGGCCTCCCCAGATCTGAACCCATCTTTATCCCTCTGGGGTTTAGTCTTGTAAATGGCTTAACTCTTAACCCATGGTTTTTCACTCTTATATATGGGGGTGGTTCTGAGAAATACATGAGGTTAAGTGAATAAGAGACTGGCACATAGTTCATCAAATGCTGGGTATTTTTCCTCCACCTTTAATGAGGTTTCCCATAAGGGTAGGTGGGTAGACAGTCTTCTTAGAAGGTGAGGAATGTTAGAGAGGTAGATGTTGGGTTTGGCAATTACTTTTATTCCAGTGGACAGTTAAAAATCGCAGACGAGGACTTAGAACATCAAGATTTTAGGCTTTAGATCATGAGTAGATAACAGAAAAATCAAGTAACTCCGGGGGATGCTGAAAATGGGCTTCTTTTTGAAAAATTGCTTGTATTTTTGTTTTTTATTTAAAAATTCATTTGAGGCTAATTGACATGTAACAGTTTCATGTGTACAACATGTTTCAGTATTTGTGTATGTTGTTGAAATGATCACAATAAGTCTAGTTAACATCTGTCATCTCACATAGTTAAAAAAAATTGCATTTTCTTCTGATGAGGATTCTGAAGATTGAGCAACTATCAAATACACAGTACAGTATCATTAACTGTAGTCACCGTGCTATACTTTACATCACAGGACTGACTTACAACTGGAGATTTGTGTCTTTTGACCCATTTTGCCCATCCCTGCCCACCTCCTGTGGCAACCACCAGTGTTGCTTGTATTTAATAACCAGGTTATTACAGTTTGAATAAAGGGTCTGAAATGTTTCCATTTGAACATAATACTTTATTTTAAACTGGACTTAGGGCATGTGGTTCATCCATTCACTGGCATGTACTGAGTCCCCTGGCATGGTGTCCTGGGCAGGGATGGGCCCTGTGCCCCAAGGAGCGCTGCTCTCACGGGCCACCCCCACCACAAGCCTCCCAGCGACCTGGACGTTGTGGTGTGGGTGTCTCCGTACCTGAGAGTGGTTTCAAGGGCCGAAGCAATAAAGCATTTGCCAAAGTAAAAGCCGCTCTGTACGACTGAGAGCTGCTTCAGACCGCATGGCATTACTTGAAGCACGCTGTTGTGTTTCGTGCTTGTATGCTCCACGTAGAACGTATGACATGAAGACTCCCTGTTAGGCAAAATGAGTAGCTGCGCGCTTCTAAAGGCATCGTGCTTTTGCGGATCTAGCTCTTTACATCGTCGCGTCCACTGTAATTCACGATTCTTTGCACTCACAGGCATGTATAGAACCACAATGTGTAGACACTGTCTCTCTCCCTCACTCTTAGCTTGTAATCCATTCCTCTTTAATCTCGATGTTTTTAGGCAGTCGGGGAGGTAGGTGTCTGGGCCTGTTTAATCTGGAGAAAGTGCTAGTGAATTACTGCTGGTTTTGAGGTGCTCAATCCTCACGCTCATTTGACGGGCATGGGGGCAGGGCGGGCTCAGCAGGAACAGTCGTAAGAAGAGCTGTTACGAATCAAATTGGCATTGCAAGGTTTTTAGGAAGGAATGAAGAAAAAACCATTGGGTCACTTCTCTTGCCTCAAATACTTTGTATTACCTGGTTTTGCTCATAAGATCCTTTGCCAGCTTAAAATCCTTTTTCAGCTTAAAATCCTCACCGAAAGAAGTCGCTGTAAACTGAGTAATAGGTTAAATTTTGATTTGTACCATTTGATGCTCCCTCAGACAGCTTTTCTATTAAACAAGAAAATGCTTTTGTTTAAGTGGGTCAACTTGAAATAAAGTCGCTCAGTTTTTGGCTGACGTGTAACAGCCACCCTTTATGGTCTGTCACGTGCTAGCACTGTCTAGGTACTATGTATGTTTTATGTTAAATCTTGGTGACAACCCTGCCCCGAGATGTTAGTGTGCTGGTGTGGAGGTTCAGGCCCAGGTGCAGGGACTTGATCTGCACACAGACATGCATCCCATGCTGGGCTGAAGACCTGCCTGTACCTTGTCGCCACCGCCCTGCGCAGGAGGTTGGCCTCGTGCTCACGCCCTGGCACTGTGGGGCCGTTTAATCGATGCCAGGGGTGCAGCTAGGTTTCCACGATGATCTTGACTATGTCTTAATGCCTGGTGTGGTAGGGAATTACCCTCTATTTGTGACTGAGAAAACTGAAAAAGAAGACCCTCGCCGGCTCCCAGAGTAGAGGTGGAATAGGGACCCGGGCGGTCAGCGCCGGGTCCTCGCTGCTGGGCTTCTGGCCCGGAGGAAGCTCGGTGCTGCAGAGCAGCTGTGCACGTGCAGGGGCGCCGCGCTGTCCGGCCCTCTCCGAAGACTACATTTAACCACAACGTTCTAAGCGATCTACTAGATGCAGAATGTTGTTCTGGAATCAGCAGGAGATTGGAAATAAGGTTTCAGTCAGGACAGTCTTGCCCGTGCAGTCTAACCTGGAGGAAGTTGCTGCCCAGCCCGGTGTCCGCCCAGGCGAACGGGGCCCGGGATCGTGTGTGCCCAGCAGGGCGGTCAGCCCAGCTAACGCGTGGAGGTACCGTACAAATGCTAAACACCGTACCAGGGGAGCTGAGAGATATTTGGGGTCAGCAGATTCTGGTTAGCAGATGTATTCTGTAAGTGGAGTTGAGATTCTTTAAAGCTGGAAAGTCAGTCGCATCCAGCGTTAGGATAAAGCGTCATCTCCTCTTACGTCCTGTGTGAGGAGTAAGTGGGCATCTGCTTGTGGCTCTGCTGCTCTTTGTAGAACAGAAATAGAGCTTTTATTTTCAGCAGCAATAAAGCCTATTAAACTTTTGACTCACCTCTTGATTGAATTTGAGAAGAAAGAAAATTAGTTCCATCCCTTCCCTGTGTAGGCGAGGAAACAGGCCCGTTATGCCAAGTCACTGGGCAGGTCTGCGGGGCGGCTCCGGGGCACCGGGTCCCGCTGTTCCTGGCTTGGCCAGCTCTCCATGAAGCCACAGGCCCTCAATGAATGTGTGCTGAATAGATCATCTAGGAACTGACATAGAAAACAAGACATTTTCTGACTTCTAAATGTTTCTACAATCATATCTAAACTGGAATTTCAAATTAATTTGTGTGAAGAAAATATTTTCAGGATAAATGTTTAGACCATTTGAAATGTGGTATTTCTAAATGATTAATATTTGACAAATTGAATTTGGTTAGATTTTGATCACCCAAAACATTCAATATTTTCATAATAAAATTCTTTAAAAACAAACTTAAATAATTGTTCCTAGGGTATATTGACAATTTATCCATTTACAAAGATGCTTACAGGTGGTTTGCTGTCTCCCAAATTAGTTTCTTTTGCATGAAAAATAGGTTAATAAATACTTAATCCTCCCGTTTAAGCACCTTCTAGTTGCAAGTCGCAGTAATGGAGCGCGTGCGCCCGAGATGGAAAAGGTAAGCGACGTCTCAGGAAATGCAGGAACTTAGAAACAGAGCCGTCCTGAGCTCAGGCAGCACGGCGTTCTCTGCAGCCCAGACGGACGGGAGGAGCAGGCTGGCCCCGGTGGAGGCAGAGCCACTGGGCCTCGGAATGGTCAAGGGGCAGATGGCATGTGAGATGCTCAGCCGCTGCCAGTCTGGCTTGCACAGTCAGGCACTACATTTAGAGTCAGCTTTTCCTTTAAAATCCTTTCCCTGATAAGTGCATCTTTAAAATGAACGGTGTTACCTCCACCCTGGCAACCAGATTGCACCTGGCTTCATTCTTGCCCTGTCATTCGGCATGGGTCCAGGGAACAGAAATTAACTTTTGTATGTTAAGTAAAAATTAAGGTGGTGATGAGGACTATAGTTATTCCATGGTCAATGTCCATGATTTTCAAAATATTTTTGATTCATCACATCATTGATCTCCTCCATAAACGTGAAAAATTAGAAGTTACTAACAGTGAAATACTTTGAGGGCACAAAGATCTGCCACAAAATACCAGTTAGTGGAAGTTCATGAGGATGAGCTTCCCTGGCATTTTTCACAGCTCATTACTGAATGTAAAAGGCTAATTAGGAGCATTTTCCTTTGCAAATTTTGAAACCTTGTTTCTAGACTCAAGAACGTTAACTAAAGCAAAAACAAACCTAAATAATTGTTCCTAGGCTATATTGACAATTTGTCCATTTACAAAGATGCTTACAAGTGGAAGGCTGACCACAGAGTGTGCCAGGACAATTATGAAATAGTTTGTGGGTTTATTCCTATTACTCTATATTTAAAACGTGGTCTGAAAGTTCAATGTGAAGTAAGCACGTCGTCGTCATTCAAGCTCTGACAGGATGTACTGGTGTGGTGGGAATCTTACATGAGGTTATAATTCTTGCCCCTGAGTTTTCAGTGCATCCTAATTTTTAAAAATGTCTGTAAGACAACTAAATAAAACCTAGAAGAGCAAATGTGATCATACTAGCAAAAACTCAGTGCAGCAGCATTACTGTAACTACTGAGGCTAATGTCTTGAGGAAGCAAAACACATGGACAGATTTATACTAATTTGATTACCTCTTTCTCTCCTATTAGATCACTTTGAAGTCTGACTTTTACAATGATTTTTTAAATATTTTTAAATACCTGGCATAGGGAAAAGCCGGTAAGTGACATTTCTGGGGTCTTGGTGAAGTCATGGCACAAGTGTGCACGGCACCAGAGATGGTTCCACCACACACATTATTACATCCCCCGCATCATTGGGACAACTTGGAATCGTTGTTAGGCAGAAAGACAGACATGAGCAGGCGGAGAGAGAGTAAAGCCAGTAATGCCCACTGTAAGGGACCCAAAGAGTTAACCAGATAAAACCAGAGAGCCAGACAGGGCTCGCAGAGTTAATTAGCTAATTAGTTGAAGTTGCAAAGGCCAGGAGTGACTTGGAATGTCCAGATATTCCCCAGATAGAGGAAAGTATCAGAGTGCGGCCCACGTCCTCATGGGACCACGTACATGAGGCCTCCCAGGCCAGAGACTGTCAGTCAAGGACTTCTCTGCCCCACGAGGCAGAGCGGGGGGATGGGACAAGGGCCATGCCACGTGAACTCTACTCAGCCTGAGGAAGAGGCCCAGGTCAGCCTTCAGCTTGGTCTGTGACGCTGTTCCTCCGCTTCTTCCGGCCCCTTGATCAGTCAAGTGACTGTCACCAGGACGGGATAGACGTCTAAAGTGGGAAAAGAATGCCAAGATCCGGACTAAATATAACCCTATTAAGACAAAACTTCGAAGGAATTACGAATCCCCTGTACACAACATACCTTATGCTGACCCCTACCCAAAAGGCCCCATAAAACCCCACACCCTGAACCCCTCAGTGCGCCTCCTCTCAGGGTGCCCACGCTCCCCTTCCTTTGAGTGCACTCTTTGCCTTCGAGGCTTCTCACTGCTCAGCTTACTACCTTTTGGCTCTGAGCTCTTCCAGTGGCAAGTGTCTTTGTTATTTTGCTATTTCATTCTATTTTCTAGACTTAAGCCCAAGTCTTCATTCTGTCCTACTTTAGACTAGTAGGGAGAGGCTGCCGAGAGCTCTGGTTTGGGCCTGCAAGTTCCTGGATAGGCCTGCGGCTGTAATGATTACACTTTTGGTAGCCTGCCCCAAAATCTCCTTTCTTTGCCCTCGGGAAGCTCTCAGAACATAATCTCACTCCATCCAGTGCCCTGAGGCCCCCCCAAATCCTGGGGTGGTGGGGACTTAGTTCCCACACTGTGCGGATTCAAGCGGACACTGGACGCCAGGTGACCCTGGCTTCAGGAGCTGGCAAGGGATCTGCCCTTAGCCAGGGAGGAGTTCAACGAGCTTC